TGTTTTCAAAGCATGGTTTTCCCCGTGGCATGTCAAGGAAGTTTAAAAAGTTACGGGTTCTCAATTTTCCTTATGCTTTTGATGCTGAAGAATTGCCGGCATGTTTTGGCAACATGAAGAGTTTGAGATACTTAGACATTTCTAGAACTCAAATAAAAGAAGTGCCCAGGTTCGTTACTAATCTATACAATTTACAAACATTTAGATTTCTTAATTGCAGATCTATCAAAATGCCTCCTGAAGGAATAGGAAGTTTAATCAACTTGAGGCACGTTTACTTCTCTTATGAAGAGAATATGCCTGCAAATATTGGGAGACTGTCAAATCTTCGAACATTGCCATTGTTCTTTGTGGGTGCAACGAAGGGGCGTAAAATTGAAGAATTGGAATGTTTAAGCCAACTGAGAGGAAGTTTAGAGATCTGTAACCTTGAACTTGTTAAAGACAAATCAGAAGCCATGAGAGCAAAATTACATGAGAAGGCAGTTAATGATCTGAATATGACATGGGGAAAAGAAGGCAATCATGATGAAGATGTTTTGGAAGGCCTCCGACCACACTCAAATCTGCAAAGATTAGCTATTTATGGTTATGGAGGTAAAAACTTACCGTCATGGATGTTGAAGAGTGACTGTAGTTACAATAATGAAGTGTTTTTGATCAGGAACTTGGTGGAATTGGAAATTAATGAGTGCAAGAAGTTAGAAAGCATTCCGGCATTGAAAGGACTTTCATCCCTTCGGCTGCTTTATATTTGGAATTGCAATGAATTAACTACTATAGCTGATGAAGCATTTGCGACATTTGAGTCCCTGCAAGAGTTAATCATAAGAAATTGTCCTAAGCTGGCAAGTGTTCCAACAGGTGGGTTACAATCACTTTTGAAATTCTTCATTTCCAATTGCTCTATAAGCAGCATCGGAGATATACTAGCAGCCTCCAAGTGCCTTAAGTCCTTATCTCTGGGAGCCCTGCCTAATTTGGGGTTTATTCCAAGTATTGATGGGCTTACAACTCTTCAAAACATTGCTCTGTCTGGGCTTCCTAATCTGATGTCTATTCCAAGTCTTGATGGGCTTATCTCCCTTCAGACCATAAATCTGTCTGGGCTTCCTAATCTGAGGTTTATTCCAAGTCTTGATGGGCTTACCTCTCTTCAAAATTTATTTTTGTCTGAATGTGAAATAGAGTGTCTACCTAGTGGGCTATCATCCTGCACAGCTCTTAAAATACTAGACGTAAGGAGCTGCCATAACCTGATCTCTATTCCAGAAGAATTGAAGGAATTGCATTCTCTTGTTGAGTTAAGAATTGTAGATTGTTCAAAATTGAGAAGCATCCCAGAGAAGCCTCTCGCGTGCCTTACTAGCTTGAAAAAATTGAATATTGGTGGTTTTTGGGAAGAGCTAGAGGAATTCCCTGGACTTGGTTCCATTCTCTACCTGAAGACCTCGCTCGAAGGGTTGCAGTTGTATGGATGGAAAAAATTAACTACGTTGCCACCTCAAATTCAACACCTCACTGCTCTAAAGAAGTTGTTTATTAGTAAGTTTGATGAAGTGGAAACATTGCCAGAGTGGTTGGGAAACTTATCCTGCCTAAAAGAATTGCATGTTGATTCTTGTTCTGGATTAAGATATCTATCGAGTGGGCTGTCATTCTGCACTGGTCTCGACAGACTTGCCATACAGGATTGTCCTAATCTTGTCTCTATTCCAGAGGAAGTTATCGGCCATCTTACTCAGTTGAAGAGCTTGTCGATTGGTGGTTTCTCAAAAGAGTTGGAGGAATTTCCGGGTTTGAATTCCATCAACACCTGCCTTGAAGACTTGCAATTGTATGGTTGGGAAAAGCTAAGTCAGTTGCCTCATCAAATTCAACACCTCACTGCTCTACGGGGCTTGTCGGTATCCAGATTTGATGGAGTGGAAGTCTTACCAGAGTGGTTGAGAAACTTATCCTCCCTTGAATATCTAGTTGTTAAAAGCTGCAAGAATCTGAAACAACTGCCTTCTGCGGAAGCCTTTCGACGACTCTCTAAATTGCAGACACTTCACATTTATGACTGCCCCTTGTTAGAGGAAAGATGTGCCAAGGAAAGCGGTTCTGAGTGGTCCAAGATTTCTCACATTCCAAACATCCGCATAAATGGCAAGTCCTTTTAATCCCAAGATTGAGGTTTGCGAGAGGCAACAGGTATGCCCGATTTCTGAAATCCCAACTCCTCTTTTTCTCGCAACTGCACTTGTCAATAATTTATAAATTCCCAACACTAATTTTCTCCTCATTGGCTCATTCTATCAATTAAGTCTTTGTCTTTCTGTCAATTTAGGGAGCAATATAATAAAATATATCAACTCAAATGTTGAATGAGGCTCCTTAATTTCTTTTTCCAACGTTCAACTTGAAGACTTCTTAATTTTCTATCTTCTCCATTTAAATTGCTATTTTGCTCCAAAATGGGTTATTGTATAGTTTTTCTTCGGCAGTTTGTTTATATGTAAATAAAGCTATTAGCTGTATAAAAGACACTTGGTCTTATGCATAAAATGTGACTGCAACACTAAACTGTTGCATTCTTCATTCGAAGCATATGGTGAAATCAACAGACTCCAAAACTTGCAGCAACTTGGAGCATATATGTTAAATTAATTTTGTGAATCAAAGTTTTCTTTTTCAATTGCATAATTATTATTTCTTTTACAATTGGAACTAAGATCCATATTATAAATCCTTTCTTGTTGCAAAACATATATACACAAATGGAATTCATTTTTGGTTGCAGGCATGGAATTACTTTTCCCTTGAAAAAACATATACACTATTTGCCTTAAAACACCAAACTGACCCTCATCCAAGAAGCAAGCAATAGCAGAGGAATGGAATAAAAGTAGCTTCACCAAGCAAAAGATGATTTTGGTATGCTTTCTAGATATTTTATCATGTCTCCTAATTATTATTTGAGAATTGAGTGAGGACTTAGTCTTACAGTAAACTTGCTTCTTGAAAATTTTTGAATCATACAGGATGATCTTGAAGGTGCTCAATTTTAATCAATTAGGAACATACCTTGTATCTCTCATGTCTTACTTTGAAGGAAAACTGTTACAGGTAAAAACCAAACCAAAGTTTACATCAGTTATACTTCATTAAAAGGCATATGCATTTTCAATTCCTTGGCATCAACTACATAATTTTACAGATTTGAAGTATATGATCTCTGTTTGTTTCTCATCATTAATTTTTATTACTATGTACCATTTGTTCCTCCAAGAAGAGTGATATTGTTAGTTCAGTTGAATTATATCTGATTCAAAAGATTTTGTTCAAGTGTTTGAATTTGAGAAACATATATCACTACCAGTGCAGCTAAGATTACTTGCTTGTTAAATTCATATATGTAGAAGCATTCCACCTGTTGGATTTTTAGGGGTAATAAGGGGGTTGAGATAGTGGATTTGGATGAGAAGGAGAGTGACACCCGGAGTTACCTCATATGGTGAGGTGAGAACCCATTTTCTTCATTCAACTTCTTCCATTATATAGCAGAAATCTCATAATACATCAACAGTAATTTCAACCTGATACAATAAAATTTATCAAACATTTAAAGCAAGATTACATTCAAAAGATTTGCATCCATTTTGTTCAGCCCCATGTGGCTGTCACTTTGTTGCCACTGTGTTGTTGTTGCAGCTCTCACGTCTTTTCATTTGCTGCCACAGTGTTGCAGCTTTGACACCACAACTCCAACACTCCTCCTTGGTGTTAAAGCTGCGGGAAACAAGAAATTTACCTAAGCATTTGGAATCTGCCTTTTGCAGTTCTTTATGCTTTGGTTTTGATTTTTGTTGCTGCTATGGCTATCTTCCTTGGCATATCAACTCCTCCTTCAATACTGCAGCTTCATCTTGCTTAGATTTGCTGCTTTAACAAATGCTTGGAGCTTTAAACATTTTCAGCAACTCCATTTCAGCAACTTGTACTTCCTTGGATCTTTGCTGAGCTTTTCTGTAAGTTAGCTCAGTTTTCTTCGTTTTTCATTTCCATATACAGCTTCCTTGGGATCGAGGTCAGATTCAACTTTATGGTTAATATGACTTTATGCGTGCTCTGAGTTTTCTTCCTTACTCAGGTTGCACCCTTGACAGACAATCTTTTTCCCTTTGAACTGCTGGCTGTAGAATCCATGAACACCTTCTCTTTGTTGGTCCAGCTTACCTCTCCACACCATCTCCTCACCATGCTTGATCTTGAGCTATAGTAGGTCTACCATACGCCTTCATCACTTGTGGAGTGATTTGGCTAAAAACGGAAGAGGGATTTCACAACAAAACCTACTGGAATCCATTTAGAAAGGTGGCTTTTTCTAGGTTTTTTTTTTTTTGTTTTTTTTTTGTTTTTTTTTTTGTGGTGTTTCTCTCAAAATCACTCTAAGAGATTCCTCAAGATCATTGAAGCTCTGATACCATGTTGGATTTTTAGGGGTAAAAAGGGGGTTGAGAGAGTGGACTTGGAGGAGAAGGAGAGTG